AGCTCTCTGCAGTAGATGATGGCTTCTTCCTTGTCTGTCAGCATATCTCCGTCTGCTTTCTCAGTTTTGTCAGTCACTTGTGTACTGATGACCACCCTCCCATTTTTTTCTATTTGCTGATGTGTATTTACTTTCTACGTGTACACTGTCATGAGTGAGTGGAGGGCCTGAGAGGGAATCTGCCATCTTTTTTTTTTTTTTTTTTTTTTTTGCTGATCCAGGGATTGAGCTCAGGCCTTTGTGCTTGCCAGGCAAGCACTTATTCTACTGAGCCATGGGGGCCTGCCCCCAGAATCTGCCATCTTGCATGTAGAGGTGCTTCTAACTTCTAACCTGTCGGAGCAGCCACTTACGCCACATAGTGTAGTTGCTCATAGGATGTTTCTGCAGTCTTTAGAAGCAAAACCAGAGATATTCTTAAGTATGTGCCTATAAGATCTAGTCTGAGTCCCTTATATTTTCACATAACACCCTCCCCACTCCCAGGTCCCATAGGGTATCATGAAGAGTGTTTTAAAAATTCCAGTTTGGTTTTCTTTTCCTGTCCCCACAGAATCATTGGCCTCTTTATTTTCTAAACAAAATTATATTGATCTTTTCTTCAGAGCCAGGCATCATGCTGGAGCGCTATTGCAAGGACTGAAAAAGCATTTATGAAAACACTAGTTTTAGGCCTGGCTAAGAAAAAAGAATCAATGTAATTTGTGTAACTGTATAACACAGGGCAAGTTAAGGAAATTGAAGCTCATAGAAGTTAAATAATTTGTCCTAAATCACAGGTCTAGTAATTGGCAGAGTAGAATTTTAATTCAGTTTTCTTTAGCCCTAAATATTATACTTTTTTTTGTTTTTTTTGTTTTTTTTTTTTGGTCCTTTTAAGACAGGGTTTCACTGTATAGTTCAGGGTGGCCTTGAGCTGACTTTGTAAGCTAGGCTAGTCTCAAACTCACAGTGATCCCCCTGCCTCAGTCAAGTGCTGAGCTTATAGGCATGTACCGCCATACCTGCCTTACGTTTTAAAAAAAATTTTATTCATTTATTTATTTATGTGGTAGTGAGGGGAGTTGAGACAGGTTCTCACTATAGTTCCGGTTGGCCTTAAAGTCACTATGTAGCCCAGGCTGGCCTCAGACTCACAGAGACCCTCTTTAGTCAGCCTCTAGAGTTTTGTGATCTTGGACATGGGCCACCATACCTTGTTGGAGTTTTGGGTTTTTTTTTTTTTAATTTAAAGAGACAGGATCTTGTCTAGAATGACCCTTAACTCAGTCCTGCCTCAACCTACTAAGTAGCTGGCATTTGCCTGTGCACCCAAATAAAGTATTACACTCTTGTCCATAATTCTTTGAGTATCTTACTTAATATTACCATAGGAAGAATGATAATGTCCCTATGTTATAGACAGAAAAAAAAGTCCAAAGAGGCTGAATTATTTGCTCAGGAACAGCTATTCCTTTTTGGGACCCCAGGGAGAAAAAAATTAGTTAAGAAATGTAGTACTGGCTAGGCATACTGGCCCCTGCCTGTATTCCCAGCACTCAGGAGGCTGAAGCAGGAGAATTACCATGAGCTTGAGGCCAGCCTGGACTACTAGACACAGTCTCTAAAAGAAGAAGAAGAAATAGAAGAAGAAATGTAGTACAGATCTAAGTATGGTATATGCCTGTAATCTCAGGACTCTGGAAGGGTGAGGCAGCAGGATCCAAAATTTGTACTGGGGATCAAACTCAGGAGTTTGTGCTTGCCAGGCAGGTGCTTAGGCCACTGAGCTATCTCCCCGGCCCAAACAGGATGCAATCCCTTGTACTGAAAAAACAAAAACGAAAACAAAAAGGCACTGTCACTGATCCTAACTTCTAGGGAATAGTGCAGGGCCCCTTTGGGGCTGTGTAATTCTGGAGACCTAAACCTAGAGAAATTAAGAGGCCCCAAGGTGGAAAAGAAAATAACTGTACCTGAACATGGTGGCACATGCTTATAATCCAAACACTTTGGGAGGCTGATGCAGGAAAATTACCGTGAGGTTTGGTGTTTGTTTGTTTGTTTGTTTGTTTGTGGAACCAGGGTTTGAACTCAGGCCCTTGCGCTTGCTAGGCAAGCACTTATTCTACTGAGCTATCTCCCTGGCCCCCAATTGAGGCCAGCCTGGACCATAGGAATTTTTTTTTTCTATCAGGACTTTAAAGGGAATATGAACTATAAAGAGAAATCCTGTCTTTGTCTCTAAAAAACAAGGACAGGGGCCAGGAAGATAGCTCAGTAGAATAAGTGCTTCCCTGATAAGCGCAGGGTCCTGAGTTAAAAAAATAAAATAAAATAAAAAGTACCAGTACCACCAAAAATAAAATAAAATAAAATAATAATAAAATTAATAAAATAAAATAAAAAACGAGAACAAAAAAAAGAAAAACTAGGTATGGTGGCATATGCCTGTAACCCCAGTATTCAGGAGGCTGAGATAGGAGGATTGCCATGAGTTTCTTTTTTTACTAGTTTTTTTTTTTTTTTCTTTTTTGGTACCAGAGATCAAACTCGACCTTGCACTTGCCAGGCAGGTGCTGAAGCCACTGAGCTATCTCCCCAACCCAAAACACCAAGCACTTATCTACTTTTTATAATTATAGTGCCCCCTTGGTACTCTGGGAGACTCAGTTCAAAACACCCCAGATAATAAAATTAGAGGATACTCAAGTCCCTTATAAGATATATAGTATTTGCATATAACCTATACACATCCTCCCTATGTACTTTAGTAAGTAATCCTTTGTATATTACAATACCTAATATAAAATAAATGCTTGCAAAAAGTTACTATACTCTTAGAGCAGGTATGTTCAACCTGCAGTCCATTTCTTTTTTGCCCTCTTTTTTTCACGAAGAGGAACTGTCTCCGGCTGCTTATAGAATACATAATATAGTTTGTTTTGTTTTGTTTTTTATGTATGTAGTACAGGATCTACAGGGTCTCACTACACAGATCAGACTCGTAGTGATTCTCCTGTTTTTAGCCTTCCAAGCACTGGGATTACAGGCAAGCGCCACCACACCAAGTCTCAGTCGCCATCTCAGCAAACCCCAGGGGTGGGGCTGGCACAGCTTGTGGTGCCAGGGATTGAATCCCGGTCCCTGCACTCTGCCTAAGCAGGCACTTTAATCTGCTGAGCTATCTGGCCGGCCTAAGTGTATGTAAGTAAACAAAATTTATTTTTAAAAGTGTTTTTATGATAACATTAAAAAGGTATAAGTCAAGGCTGGGGAGATGGCTCTGGAATAAGCGCTTCCCTGGCAAGTGCAAGGGCCTGAGTTCAATCCCCGGTTCAGAAAAAAAAAGCTGTAAGAGCTTAGTATGGTGGCACAGGCCTGTGATCCAAACACTTGGGAGGCTAAGGCAAGAGGACTGCTGTGAGTTCAAGGCAGTTACATAGTGAGACCTTGTGTCAAAATAAAAAAGGGGGGCCGGGGAGATGGCTCAATAGAATAAGCGCTTCCCTGGCAAGCGCAAGGGCCTGAGTTCAATCCCCGGTTCCTCCAAAAAAAAAAAGGGGGGGAGTGGGGAGCAAGCCAGGTATTGTATAGTACCTCCCGATTCAGAGATTGACAGTGAATAAATCCTGTCCGTGTTCAGTGCACATGCAGATATGCCAACACTTTAGGCCTAATTACAGATCAGCAGTACGCATCATGGCCCTGTGGCGTTTTTATTTTTTTGAGACATGGTCTTGCTGTGTAGTTCAGGTTGGCCTTGGACTCACTGTATAGCTGGCCTGTAGCTCCCCGTGATCTTTCTGCTTCAGCTTTCCACATTCCAGGGTTACAGGCGTGCATCACTACACCCAAACATTTCTTTTTCAGATGGGTATTTTAATTTCAAGCTTGCTTGAATGTGCAGGTGAAGGATCGTGAGGTAGAGGGCTCACTGCATTCTTCCAGTCTATGGGCCTATTAGTTTTCTGTTCATAGAGCACCAACAATACACTCAAAAGCATACCTTGAGTACTGAACACGTTGACACCTACCTGTAATCCCAGTGACTTGGGAGGCTGAGGCAGGAGGAACACAAGTTTGGGGCCAGCCTGAGCAACTTAGAGAGTCCTTATCTCAAAAACAAAGGCTGGGATGCAGCTAAATGGTAGAGCACTTGCATAGCATCCCCAGAAACTGAGGTTCAATTCCTAGTATTACGAAACACAAAGCAAAACAACAGTAATTAACCTCAGCTCTAACCAAAGCGTGCTGCTCAGGGGAAAGGGCTGTGCTGTTGAAGAGTCTGTTTCACCACTGGTGTATGTAGGTGCAAAATGAATAACTGTGAACTGTCGAGTGCAAACTAAATCACCTTCTCTAATGCACCAGGTCATGCAGTGTATACTTCTTTTTGTTGTACCTTGTACACTTTTTTTTGGCGGAACCGGGGATTGAACTCAGATCCTTGCGTTTGCCAGTCAAGCGCTTATCCTACTGAGCCATCTCCCCGGCCCCTGTACAATTTTAATTAATTATATATATTTTTAAAATATCTGTTTTGATCTTTGGTACCAAAGCTGGGTCTGAACTCTAGCTGTATTTCTTTCTTGCTAATTGTGTAGCCATTTAGGAATTTACTTCATATTTCAGAGCCACAGCTTCCTCATTTGAAAGGGGGATAAAATGATAGTATCTTAATTCATGCTGTAGTTACAAGAAAAAAGGAGGTGCATGGAACATGGCCTGCGCCAGTGTATGGGGACTGTTATAATTATTATTTAGCTGTCACTACTGGGTGTGGGGGGACTTGTCTCTTGCCTCTTACTGTATGCCTAATGCCCAGCCATACTCGGTGCTAAGAAATATGTTCAGAATCCATTGGATGGCACTGCAGAGGAATGGAAGGATGGGTAAACTCCCCTTGGAGCGTCCAGGAAAGCTGAGGCTCAGAGAGAAGAGCAGAGCCCCCGCTTGGACTGTGGGTTGGGGTCCCAGCCCGTGGGCAGGCCTGTCCTCACTACTGTCTTCCGCAGCAGGTTTGGGATGTACATTCCATTCCTGCAGCTGAACTGTGATCTCCGCAAGACAAATCTCTTCAGCCACGTGGCCTCCATGGGGCCCCGGGAAGCAGTGAGCGGTCTGGCAAGGAGTCGGGACTATCTGCTGACACTACGGGAGACGTGGAAACAGCACACGCGACAGCTGTATGGCCCAGAAGCTATGCCCACCCATGCCTGCTGCCTATCGCCCAGCCTCATCCGCAGTGAAGTGGAGTTCCTCAAGATGGATTTCAACTGGCGTATGAAGGAAGTGCTTGTCAGCTCCATGCTGAGTGCCTATTACGTGGCCTTTGTGCCTGTCTGGTTTGTGAAGGTACACTGCTCGATGCAGGGGGGGACAGGGCCTGGCTGGGACCTTACCTTGCTGCCTACCCCCTGTGAGCCCTACTGCTTACATATGTAACTACTATTTTATGACATTTCCCACCTGTTCTCTAGAAAGCTAGAGTGATTATTGTCTGTATTTTAGAGTACAGAGAACAAGACTCCCTGAAAAGGAAATGACCTGCCTGAGGTCACTCAGCCACTGATAACAAAGAACAGTAACTGTACAGTATGGCGGAAGCTGTTTTGATACAGGCATATAACAGTGTCCTGCCTTGTCCTTTGGTAAGGAAGCCAGGATTCATCCAGATCTAAATGACTCCAAAAGTCTATATATAATCTCCTGGAAGGTACCTCCTCAGCTAAGTACTCTTAAAACATTCCGCACGGGCCTGCAAGATAGCTCAGTGGACTAAAGCACCTGCTTAGGCAAGCGCAGGGACCACAGTTCGATCCCTAGCACCACATGCTGTGCCAGCCCCACCCCGAGGCAGATAGAGCTGGCCAGAGTCTGGGCATGGTGGTGCATGTCTATACTTCCAGCGCTGGGGAGGCTGAAAGCAGGAGGATCATCACTAGTCTAAGCTGTGTAGTGAGACGTGTAACAACCAAATAGAAAGAAAGAAAGAAAAGTAAATAAATTTTTGTAGTCTAGGGAGATAACTTGGGGACTCAGTAACTGCCTGGTAAGTGCAAGGCCCTGAGTTCAATTGTGGTACCAAAATGACAACAAATTTCTACAGGATGCACTGTACCTTGAGATTTGAGAGGGCTGGGGAGATAGCTCAGTGGAGTACGTGCTTTCCTGGAAGCACAGGGCCTGAGTTCAATCCCAAGTACCACCAAAAACCAAAAAAAAAGATTTGAGGTTGACTGTCTGGCAAGCTCAAAGTCCTGAGTTCAATCCCCAGTACCAAAACAAAAAAGATTTGAAGTTGAAGCCAGGCTTGGTGGCACACATCTATAATCCCAGCACTCAGGAAACTGAGGTAGGAGGATCATTGTGAGTTTGAGACCAGTCTGGGCTACAAGGTGAGCTCAAGGCCAGCCTGAGCAGGACCCTGTCTCAAAAAGAAAAAAAAAAAAAGATTTGAGTTTGAGGGGATTTACTGTCTATTGAACACCTGCAACACCTGAGGAACTTTCATGTGTATTATAATCTTCCTAATGCCTTTGAGGTGATTGGTGGCTACTCTTTTTGTCTTTTGAGACAAGGTCTTGCTATTCCTCAGATTCACTTTTGTAGCCCAGGCTGGCCTTCAACTGGCAGCGATGCTTCTGCCTCAAGTGCTGATATTACAATTATATGCCACTGTGCCCAGCTTACTTTGTTAGGTTTTTGATTCTTCATTTCAGACCATGCTGAGTCTCCTCAGCACTGTCCTACCTTCTGAGCGATATAGAGTCAAGGAAGGGAGAAGGAATGAGTCTATTACAGGCAGTATGCAAGCTTTACCCCCCCTCTTGCTATCCCCAGAACACACATTACTATGACAAGCGTTGGTCCTGCGAGCTCTTCCTGCTGGTGTCCATCAGCACCTCAGTGATCCTCATGCAGCACCTACTGCCTGCCAGCTACTGCGACCTGCTGCACAAGGCTGCTGCCCATCTGGGCTGCTGGCAGAAGGTGGACCCAGCCCTGTGTTCCAACGTGCTCCAGCATCCGTGAGTTGCCCTTGTCTGCTCTGTTCAACCCCAGCTCTCCTGGTGATCATCTGGAGCCACTTGCTCATTAACTCTTCAGCCAGCCAGCAGACAGCTATTGAGCTAGACTTGTATTTTAGGCCTGTGTCCAGAGTAAGGTGTGGTGGAGCCCAACATAGAAAAGCAGAGAAGAATAGAAAGAAAGAACAAGGGCCGGCCTGATAGCTCAACAGACTAAAGTGCCTGCTTAGGCAGAGCACAGCGGCCAGAGTTCGATCCCTGACATGCTGTGCCAACGCTGGCCCCACCCCAGGGCGTGCTGACACAATGACTGTAATCTCAGCACTTGGGAGGCTGAAAACAGGAGAATCACTAGAGTCTAATCTATGTAGTGAGACCCTGTAGACTATGTCCTAAATACATTAAAAAAAAAAAAAAAAAAAAAGTTAAATATGAGGTTCAACATATCTATAGCTTCCTAGAGCCCTCCAATAAGATCTGGGCTTCTACACAGGGCTTTCCAGCTCATGAATTGAGTCTTTTTTTTTTAATTTTATTTGTGTGTGTGTGTGTGTGTGTGTGTGCGTGTGTGCGCGTGTGTGGCCAGCTCAGCCCACCAGGGGGCGGGGCTGGCTGGCATGTGGTGCTGGGGGATTGAACCGAGGTCCCTGTGCTTTGCCAAGCTTGTTCCAAGTAGGTGCTTTAGACCACTGAGCCATCTCACCAGCCCCACATGAATTGAGTCTTGCCAGCCTTTTCTATTCATCTCTTGAAGCTTACAGTGTACTGGAGATGGGACATGAGCATGTGGTAAATTCAAAGACTCATTCACTTCCTCCTTCATTTATTAGTTCACTGATTGACTGCATTGCTCAAGCATACAATCATTCATTGCTCGTCTTGTCTCACCTCCTCACTCATCCACTGGACTGTTAGGTGACATGCACTTTGAGGAAACATTTACTTCTAACCATTCTATACCAGGCTGGGTGCTAGTGTATCAGGCACAAGAGACTGTACTTTAACCTATAGGCTGGAGAGAGCCATAGAAGACCATGAACAACTCAGGTGTGGTGGCCCACACCTCCCAGGTCTTGGGAGGCTGAGGCAGGAGGATCACCTCAAGTTTGAAGCCAGCATGGGCTAATCCTTAGGTTCCAGTGAAGAATGAGCCAAGCTAAGCAGAGGGCAGCCCAGCACTTCAGAGCCCTGAGCAGGGTGACTTCTGCCCCTAATCTGGCTGCAGTGCTATCCTACCACTAGGCCTCTTTTGCCTCACTCATCCTATTTGTGTGCCTATTTCTGTAGCCTTTTATCAAGGATTTTTTCAATCCAGATTATGCTAATTTTCTTGACTGTATTCCCCCTTGGGACTGGAAGCTCCTCAAGGACCACCTCTAAATTGTACCTGAGGCTTAGGCCCAGAACAAAGCCTAGCAAAGAAGAAGCCCCTGGAACATGTTTATAGAGATAAGTCCACCAAGGAACAGAAATGTGAAGAGAGGTCACATTCAAGGCTTCTCATGTTGGCCCTCAATGCCAATCAGGGTCCCTTTGTGCTTTGTCCAGGTGATCCAGAAAAGTTGAGACTTGACAAATGGGCCAAAAGTGGGCTTAGCTTAGCCTCAGGCTCTGAGAGGAGGGAGGAACAGAGAGATAGAAAATAGGTAAGGGGTTGGGGAGATAGCTCAGTAGAATAAGTGCTTGCCTGGCAAGTGCACGGGTCTGAGTTCAATCCCCAGTTCTGCAAAAAAAAAAAAAAAAGAACGAATAGGTGAATATGAGGATCTACCTGTCTGCGGCTCCCAAGACCTCTGGATAGGACCCGGCTCCTTCACAGGGCTGAGGAACTGCGTGCATCCTGCCAGCCAGCCTCTGCCGTGTTCCAGTTCGCACTTTGCTGTAACTATCCAAACCTCCTCCGGTCCTCATGTGCTTTATGTGCTTTGGCATCCAGGCTTTCCCCCCTGGAGTGTTCTTTCTGTCTTTCTTTTGCTGGTTAACTGTCCTTAGCACTTTGCTTCCTCCAGGAACCTTCTCTGACCACCTAGAATAGGTGCGGTGTCCTCCTCTCCCTTCAGTTTCCCCGGGCCCATACTCCTTGTACTTCATGCTTTCTACTGTGTTTGCTCAGTTTCCTGCCCACTCTGCCAGGAGTAAAAGCTCCTGGAGCCCAGGTCTGTTGTCCACCTAGCACTCAGAGAGCTCCCTACCGACAGAGTGCCTGGCTTATGATAGGTACACTGCAATTTGTTTCTTGTTTTTCTATGTAAAGTCTATTCTTTTTAAGGTCAAATTTACATAGAATGAAACGTACAAACTGCAAAACCTATAATTCTTTGAATTTTGATAGTCACATACACCCATACAACTTACTCCATCAAGGTATGGAACAATTCTAGCTCCTCAGGAAATTTCTTTGTTGCCCTTGTGGTGACTTCCTGCCACTAAGACCTTTCTGCTTTATTTTATCATAGGTTAGTTTGCCTGCTGTAGAATTTCTTACAAATGAAATCATAAGTAGATGCTCTTGTGCCCAGCTTCTTTCACTTAGCATATTTATTTATTTATTTATTTATTTATTTATTGGCTATTTCAGCCCACCCTGAGGACAGGGCTAGTGTGGCATGTGATGCCGGGGATCAAACTGTGTGGTCCCCTCAGCCTAAGCTTACCTAGGCAGGCACTTTAGACCACTGAGCTATCTCACCAGCCCATTTAGCATATTTCTTATTTTTGAGGTTCAACCTTATGTTGCATGTAACACAGTAACTACTTTTTTTTAATTTTTTTTTTTTTTTTATTTTAGGGAAGGGTCTACAGGGTGTTCAGGGTCTCACTACTAGATCGGACTCGTAGTGATCCACCTGTTTACAGCCTGCCAAGAGATGGGATTACAGGAATACCTTACTTTTTAAATGAATGCATTAATGAGGCAGGACTGTATGTTAGAAGGGAGATTGAGGGCTGGCCAGATAGCTCAGCAGATTAAAGTGCTTGCTTAGGCAGTCAAAGGGGCCAAGGGTTCCGATCCCCGGTGTGCCATGCCGGCCCTTCCCCCGGCACACTGAGACTATGATTTAGACTGGGCATGGTAGCACGTGCCTGTAATCCCAGTGCTTGGGAGACTGAAAACAGAGAATCACTACAAGTACGATCTACATAGTGAGACCCTGTACATCCTGTGCACCCTGTCCTAAATTTGCAAGAAAAAAAAAAAGCAGGGGGAGATTGGAGTTCCCAGTCTCGGGTCCTGGACCTTGGAGTTCCTAGGAAGACACACAACATTGGAGGAAAGCTTTCACTGGCCACACAGTCTCATCCCATGCACATGGGACTCTCAGTGCTGGGCTTTGTGGCATTCTTTGAGAAAACAAGGATGAACTAGACACCATCTCTTCTTCCTAGAAGGCTCCCAGCCTCATGAAGGATACAGACAGGAAAATAAATAAATGACAAACATTTGGAAATGCGATCAGTAGTACTAGATTCAGGGGACAGTAATGTGATACTCAACTCAGGGGAGTTTGAGAGAGACTTTCTGAAGGATCCAGGGTTTTGAAGATGATGAAGAGCTTTCCAGAAGGACAAGGCTTCAGGAAGGTTAGTCCCATTAGAGGGGAGCGGGCAGAGGCAAGCAGAATGATGTACCTGAAGGGACTGGAACAATTCTGGGAGGGTTTATGAGCAACATGATGGGAGTCATGGGAGGCCACTCAGGATCCCAGAGACCCTGAAAAATTATCCATGGGGCCCTGGAAATCCTTGAGCACATTTTAAGGAGAACATAGTCATGCTCAGCCAGGTATTTTACAGAGACCACACAAATAACTGTGTGGTGGACTGATAAGAAGGTAGAGGACAACCAGATAAAGCAGTGGCACCAAGAGAAGAAAAAGGACTTTTGTTACAGTCTCTCAGTCCTAGACCATCTAGTAAATCTGACCATCTGACTCCCTGCGCAGTGAATTTCTCTGGGTTCTCTCAGTTTACAGAGGGGGCATCTGAGTCCCAGAAAAGGGAAGTCTCTGTGTCTTTTAAGCAATAGAAGTGGAAGTAGAGCCCTGGTGATTGCTCAGTGCCTAACCTTGTGGTACCTTTTTTCTTGGAATAAGCGTGGGATAAGGGGCTGTCTTGAACTGTGCCTCCAGGTGGACTGAAGAATGCATGTGGCCACAGGGTGTGCTGGTGAAACACAGCAAGAATGTCTACAAAGCAGTGGGTCACTATAACGTGGCTATCCCTTCTGATGTCTCCCACTTCCGGTTCCACGTGAGTCTTCTCCTCTGGGAAGGAGGGCTGGGGCCTGCTCTAGAGGACAGGGGATGGATGGGACATGGCAAGGAGGAAGGCAGACACAGCAAGACAAAGCTATTTTCAGTATTTCCCAAACACAAGGGGAGACAGTGCACACATAGAGCACAAGAAAAGCCACTACCTCGCACTGGCCAGGCAGGTGCCCTGCCATTGAGCTATATTCCCAGCCCCAAGGCCCTGCATATTAAACACACTTTTGAATTTACAGAAAATGTTTCTTGAGTTACACACCTTGCTCTGAAACATGAAGTAAGAGTAAGATGTTACTATATTTCTTAGAAGCTTCTAGCCAAGGGGCTACAGCGATAGCTCAGTGGCCTAAGTGCCCGCTTAGGCAAATGTAAGGACCCAGCTTCAATCCCTGGTACCTCATACTGTGCCAGCTCCGTCCCCAGGGCACCAAGCTGGCCACCAAGACATGGCATTAGGGTGCACACCTGTAATCAGAGTGC